TAGAAGGCCTCCGCAGATCGTGCACGGACTCGGATCGTGCACACCCTTGTGGCTTTCGTACACTGAATTTTAAACAAAAATATCTTGCTGAATATGGGTTCAATTGAGGCCGTGCTTGCTGCGTTGGAGTTGCAGGAGTCTCCGAATTACTCTGCAACTGCTGCTGAGTTCAATATTGATCGTACAACGCTATCGCGGCGACATCGAGGCCTCACCACCTCGAAGGCGGTTGGTAACGAAACTCGCAGATTTCTCAGCGACAATCAAGAGTTACAACTCATCAAATATATCAACCATCTTTGCGACCACGGGATACCTCCTACGCCTCAGATATTGCGTAATTTCGCTGCAGAACTTGGTGGAAGACTGCCCTCAAAAAACTGGCCTTCGAGATTCGTCAAACGCCATCGAACGAAGCTGAAATCAATCTACCTAGAAGGCTTTGATCTAAGGCGCAAAAAGGCTGAATCTTATACAAATATCAAGCATTATTTTGAGCTGGTAAGTGGCTTCTAGGTATCATGTTCTTATTACTAATTTTAACCAGATTGCTGCAAAAATCAAACAATATGATGTCCAGCCACACAACATCTATAATATGGATGAAAAAGGCTTCTTGCTAGGCAAGCTGCAGAAGACGAAGCGAATAGTCTCTAAACAACAGCTTGACAGTGGCAAATTGATTGGATCTGGCCAAGATGGCAATCGCGAGTGGATCACGTTGCTTGCGTGCATCTGTATGGATCACACCTCCCTACCACCAGCAGTTATCTACCAGGCCCAAACAGGCAACCTTCAGGACTCATGGCTTAATGATTACGATCCAGGGAGTCAGTGCGCCTTCTTTGCAAGTAGCCCGAATGGCTGGACGAGCGATAAACTTGGATTCCATTGGTTAACTCGGATTTTTGATGCCAACACTAAGAAGAAAGCACGTCTTGCACGGGATCCACGGCTACTTTTTGTTGACGGGCACGGCAGCCATATAAACATGAAATTCCTTAATTGGTGTGAGCAAAACAACGTTTTAGTGGCACTATATCCACCACATTCCACGCATCGATTGCAGCCCCTGGATGTCTCCGTATTTGGGCCTCTGGCTAACTTCTACTCCCAAAACCTTGATGAATGGATCCTAAGGACTAGCGGCCTTTCTCATCTATCAAAACGAGAGTTTTGGAGTTTGTTTTACCCTGCATTTCAGGCTTCCTTTACAGAAGAGAATATTGAATCTGGATTTCGCAAAACAGGGCTCTCTCCACTAGACGCGGAAGCTGTCTTGCAGCAGATCAAACAGAGGCCTACTAGCAGCAGTGACTCAGCTAAATCTAGCCTCTCTGACATAGATTTGAGCAAAATTCGCCATGCTACATGTCAGGGTGCGAAGCAAGGTGCGAATGAGGTTATTACTAAGTCGCTATTGCCAAAACTGATTGATCGAGCGGAGCGCGCAGAAGCTGAGAACCAGCTTCTTAAATCACGTTTAGCAGCTGCTGAGTCGACTATTCAGCTTGAGAAGAAGCGCCATAAGCGTGGCAACCCATTATTCAACAATCTGTTTGAGATTACGGAAGGCGAACCGATGTTCTTTAGTCCTGCGAAGATCACGGCTGCACGGGAGAAGCAGGAGGAGCAGGAACGCACTCAACAAGAAGCTACAGCACAGAAAGCTGAATCTAAGATTCAGAAACGGCTTCTAAAAGAGGCAGCGCAACAACATGCAGCTAATAAGAAGGCTGAACGGCAGAAAGAGAAGTTACGCAGAGAGGCCACACGCGAGGAAGAGAAGCAGGAAAAGAAGGCCATAAAGCAACTACAGCAGAAGTCTAAACAGGCCTCAAAACAGCGCACACGTAACAATAAAACAGCTCCAAAGAAGCCTCCAGAGAAGCAATTATCGCAGCAGCAGGATATTGTTGAGATCTCATCAGATGAAGGCGTTGGATCGAGTTCTACGGTTGCGCGACCTCGCCGCAAACAGCGGCTGCCAAAACACCTCCAACATGAAGATATCCAGATAGAACCATTTGCGTAGATATAATTAATAAGACTACCAAGTTTCGTAACAATTAATATTGTTGTTGTTAAGATATTTGTTAATAATTTGTGGAGGGAGAAATTGCGGCTCCGACCGTGCACGATCTGCGACCGTGCACGGTCTGCGAAGGCCTTCTATGCGCAAAGAATAATATGCCCTAATCCTACTAACAGTCTATAAAACATGCTATGCAAAGCTAAAGGATAGGAAGATTGATTAAAACTGCGCTAGTTACTCTTAGAAGAGCATAAAACTTATAAAACAATACAGGTCTAGTAAGCTATTATATAAGCACGTTAGCTTCTATTAAAATTAGGCTGACTAGGGTGTTAAGCGTTTTAGAAAGTTGCAAACACTAACAGGTTTATATCTATATGTATCATTAGTGTTTGTTATAAGATAGGTAATGTGTTTTACAAGCGAGTCGCCAGTACAAGCGAGTCGCCAGTACAAGCGAGTCGCCAGGCCCACCAACTTCGTGCACTATCTCAACTATCAACCTTCATGGCTCAACTATGTAATACTCAATCAAGCTATCACGAAGCAGATTTAATTCTTACCATCTCCTCTATTGAAAAGAAGCAAATTAAAAGTGCTAGCTGTGCTGCCCAAATGTATAATGTCTCTCGATCAACGCTGCGTGACCGACGCGCCGGGAAGCCTCTACGACATGATTGCCAGCTCAACTCAAAGAAGCTCACTGAGCTAGAAGAGGAAGTGATTGTTACAAATATACTTGACCTAGATCAACGTGGATTTGCACCTACATATGTAGCTGTACGTGATATGGCCAACAATCTGCTAGCTGTGTACGGCGCAGACCATGTTAGCATCCACTGGCCACACAACTTCGTCAAGCATACAGACAGTCTTACAACACATTTTAATTGGCCGTACGATAGGCAGAGGGCTCTATGTGAGGATCCTAAGTTAATTAAGAGCTGGTTCAAGCTGGTAGAGTAGACAAAGGCCAAGTATGGCATCTGTGATGAGGACGTCTACAACTTCGATGAGGCTGGCTTTATGATGGGCAAGATCACTACTCAGCTCATTGTAACAGGGTTAGAGAGGAGAGGCCGGCCAAAGGCTATCCAGCCAGGCAATCGTGAATGGGTAACGGTCATCCAAGGAATCAACGCTGCTGGCTGGGCTATCCCACCATTCATTATCTTTGCTGGCCAACAGCATCTCTCTGCCTGGTACGAGGAAGCTGATATCCCATGTGACTGGGCAATCGCTGTTAGTGACAATGGCTGGATGAACAATGAGCTAGGAGTTGAGTGGCTAAAGCACTTCAATGCTCATACCAAGACTCGTGTTGTAGGTGCTCGTCGTCTGCTCATCCTTGATGGCCACGAGAGCTACCACTCCCTTGAGTTTCAAGAATTCTGCAAGGAGAACAATATCTACATGCTGTGCATGCCAGCTCACTCATCTCATCTGCTCCAGCCTCTGGACATTGGCTGCTTCGTGCCATTGAAGCACGTATACAGCCATGAGATTGAGGCTCTGATCCGCCACCATATCAACCACATTACGAAGCTTGAGTTTCTGCCAGCCTTCAAGGCAGCCTTTAATCAATCATTTACATCAACCAACATCTGCTCAGCCTTTCGAGGTGCAGGCCTAGTTCCTCTCCAGCCAGACATTGTTCTGTCAAAGCTTGATGTGTAGCTCTGTACGCCTACTCCTCCAGCTACCCTAGTAGAGACTCTCTGGAAGGCTCGAACACCAAGCAACATACATGAGCTTGAGGCTCAATCAACGCTAATATGTGATCACGTTCGGCAGCACAAGAGCTCATCACCAGCCTCAATCATTGAGGTGATTGATCAGCTCAAGAAGGGGGCTAAAGTAATGATGCTCTCAGCTGAGCTAATGTACGATCGGATTGCTAGCCTTGAGAGAGCTAATGAGGTAGCTATAAAGTGGAGACAGCGCAAAAAGAAGCGGATCCAGAAACATGGAGTCTTAACAAAGGGAGCAGGAGAGGATATACTAGCTCAACAAGAGATTGAGGAGCAGATTGCTCGTGAACAGCGTCAAGGTGGTACACGATCAGGTCTTAGCCGCCAGGCTCTGGCGTGATGTACAAAGTGCAGAGAGCCTGGGCACAACTCACGTACTTGCAAAAAAGATTCTTTAGATACTGCTTGATCTATTTTATTAATATCTCTATATTATCTTATAACGTGGTTGAGTTGTATGGCTATAGAGGTGCACGAAGTTGGTGGGCCTGGCGACTCGCTTGTACTGGCGACTCGCTTGTAAAACACGTTATTCTAGATACACATTTATAACCTATCCCTGACGCTAGGGGTTAGCCCCTAGGGAGCAAGTCTTTCTGCACATGCCTTCCCCACCTTGTGCTTGGTAGCCGACAAGCGCATTCTTATGAAGCGCTGAGACGTGGTGTGTTGTCTGCTGATGAGGCTTCCAGGCTCTCCACAGTCTGGACTGATGGTTGCAACGACGAGTCATTCGACGTGCGGCTCTGCTGGAAGGCCGAAGACTGCAATCCTATTTTTTTTTACCTGATGCGTTCGAACGGATCTTTCCATCCTCCAGCAAGCCCCGAGGCTCGCAATTCGCCCAGCCACTGCCACACTTCGTATACAGAGGCACGTTTGGAGTACCAATTATTTCCTCCCTAAGGAAGAATGTTGGACACCTGAGGAGCCAGAGCCAAGCTACATCCACGATGCTCGCCATTTTATTGTTTTGCGGACCGGTCGAGTACGGGGCCAATCAGACCACGGCCACCCTCGCTAGGCTTCGGCTGCCTTTCCTGATTTGTGTGTGGCGCAGTGACTCGTCCAATCATCGGATACGCCATGTTTTTAGGACCCTGCAGTGACAACCAGACCACCACCACCGCGGCAAAGCAGTTCGTATCCAGCAACCGCCATCTGGGTCTGGAGCTCAGCCGCAGGGCTCCATTATTGTGCCCATGATATACCCCCGTGTCTCCCCACAGCCTGATGGCTTCCTCTCCTTTCGACTCTCCCAAAGGCCTCAGGTTCTGGATTCGGTAGGACGATATGCGTCGCTCAGCCTTCATGCTCACGGCCATGGGCGCCGTAGCTGGTGCCGTAGTAGCTCCCTTTCCGACACCAGCAGCGAAACTGCACGAAAGACAAGATGGTTCCGTGGCACCATTACCGGTACCGACGGGGCTCGGGACAGATCCAGCGGCTAGTTCGAAACTCACACGTACTTTCGCCTACTTCTCGGGGGGACAGACGGAGGGGGTTGTGCTCTGTGAGTAATTGATTTTTTTTCATATGCGAAGCCATTGCGACCAAACATCAGGCATGGATTGGGAACTAACAAGGTCCTCTCATAGGGGCTCCATTTACCTACAGACCGGATGACTATACCTTCACATCCTCTGGCCAGTTCTGGAGGGGTTGCTCAAAGACTTACTATCAAACTGTCGGCACCAGTGTCTCAGCCGGTGAGTCGCTTGCGCATTATTGAGCAATGCTCAAAGAAACTCACGGTTTTTAGACACAGAATGCCCGCTCTTCACTACATGTTCAGACGGTTGGTTGAAGTGGTCGACAAAATCGGTCTTCTGGTAATTGACAGTCCTATCCTACTCGACCGACATCGTGGGGTCTCACACAATCACAGTGTCCAAGCCGGCTCTTCATGCTATACCGACCTGCTTTACGAAACCTACGGAGCTACAGATGCCCTCTCCTGGCTCTACTGCAACACTGCGAGCACTGACGTGGTAACTGCGTACCGCACGCAACCTCCTGCGAGTAAGTTGCATATTCTTCGTAGTTTTCCCATGCACCGGATTCTATACTGATTCAAAACTCAGACGTACCCGCAACCACTACCAATCCATCCACCTCAATCAACTCCCCTTCCTCCACCCAGACAGGGCCAACATCCACCACCTCCACCACCTCCACATCCACCCCACCACCAGAGCCCAAACCCAAGAACAACGCCGGCATCATCGCCGGCAGCGTCGTCGGCGGCGTCGCCGTCATCGCCCTCGCCGCAGTCGCCATCTTCTACATCCTGCGCCGCGGCCGCAACACCAATGCCGGCGACGCCTCTGCCGCAGGCGCTGCTGCCGCCGCCGCCCCACCAACGTATCCCGAGTACCAGGCCGAGAAGCCCCCGGCGCAGGGCGGCGCCGAAGGTTATTACGCGCCTCCTACGCAGGGAGAGTACAATCCGCATACGTCTGGGATTTATAGCGTGGGGAGCACGAGTCCGACGATTCAGAGTGCGGTTCCCGCGTATGAGCCGTATGCGCAGGGGCAGGGGCAGGGGCAGCATGTGCAGAGGAATGAGTTGCCGTCGTAGGAGGAGGGAATTGACGAGAATATGCGTTATTGGAATGAGTGTGGAGGGTTGGTGAAGAAGATGCGTTGAGATTCGAATGGCTGTGGAGTGATGATATTCTGTGAGACGTGTCAATCGCATGTTGTAGCCCGTTGGGGAGTTGATTTGTGAACGGGAGAATTTCTCGGATTGCATGGATATTTGGGATATGGAAAGGATTGGGCAGATGGGTATGTGGAATGCTAGGGACGTAGGATTGGGCTAGGCGGGGTTTAGCTGCTTATAATGATATCCACGCCTTGTTATGCCTATGTCTTTGATCACTGTAGTGCACTTTCAGTTGCGCAGATGATCAATCGGCGGTTAGCTAAATAATAGGAAGTTAGTATCAGAGGTATGGGTACTAGCGTTTACGAGTGAGTCTTCAGGATTCCTCTAGTTTTGCTATTCCTTTGTCGCTTTCCCCCAAGCCCACTGTCTACCCCCTCGCTCTATTCTAATATCTGCCTGAGAGATTTGTGCGGTGGGCTAGGAATAATTGTCTATAAAGATAGATACCCTTACCATCCAGGGGAATTAACATGAACCTTGCAACCCGATCGAGTTAAACGGTATTCTAACTCTTGATTTCTCTTCATCAACAGGGCGATTTTCTTACTGTTTTACATCGTGTTGCGGCGTAGCTTACTAGTTTTCTCGTCTGTGTTTGTAATTATGCGGCTAAGGGTGGAGTGTGCTAGTATAAGATTAGGGTATAGTCGTTGTTTGGAGTAGTTTGGAGTTAGATATACCCTAGAGGACTGTACCGACATCTTAGACTAGTTCAGGTCTACGGAATGGGTGCAGGTGCCTGCATATACACATACGCAGCGGTACGGTACAATACGTCATGGACTGATTACTTCGTTGCTGGTGGATAGATGTCGGGCGGACAACGTAGTGCCGGGGAGGCATAAGAGTCACCGTGGGACGAGTTTCCGTAACCTGTTAGCAACTCGTCACCGCTACTGAAGCAAACGGGTTCCTTTCGCCTTCACCGACACAGAGTGAGAGAGTGCTTCTTGGCGGGTTACTACCTATAGTCTCTTATCTCGCGCTCTTCAATAAAGTTTACCTGCTTCCTTACTACTTTCGCAACTTCGCATTCTCCCCCCTCCCCCTCCCCCCCCCTCTTCAAAAAATCTCTTTCTCTCTCTGTCCCTCTCTCTCTCTCTCTGTCTCTCTCTCTCTCTCCCCCAGTTCCAATACTGCTCCACAAACAAGGCACCATGACGGAGACGAATGAATCCATCAACGAGCGCGTCCGCGACCTAACGATGCTGTCTACGCGTGCTGGACTAGAGCGCCTAACGAAAAGCATCCGGAACGGCGAGGAAGTGATGGCCGAGCTGGAGGACATCCAGGCCATCTTGTTTCCCGAAGGCACGGAGCCGCCACTCGCCATCATCCCGTTACTTGAAGAGGAGATCGTAGGTACCCCTTCCCCCGTCGATGTCGACCCTAGCCAGAGCATTGGAAAAAAACTGACGATATGCTAGGGTATTTGCACGAAGCTGGCTGCCGCGATGGTCCTGGTGGAGTTGGTCAAGGAGATGCGACCCCAGCTCTTGGAGAAGCCGCGTGGCGAGGTATGGAAGTCGCTGGACGAGAAGACGGGGAGATTGGCTCGGTCGTTTTGCGAGACGCTGGATTCCCTCACGATGGTTTCGCGCAGGTTGACCGCTGCGATCAAGAAGTCGAAGTGTTATGAGATTGCCATGGCGAATAAGCGGGCCGAGGAGACTGGGGAGACTGGGGAGACTGGGGAGACTGAGGAGGCTGAGGAGACTGAGGAGACTGGGGAGACTGGGGAGACTGGGGAGACTGGGGAGTAAAGTATATGGAGGGAAATGACCAGGTGGATGAAACGAGACGGAAATTCATCTGCCTCGGGGTGGTTTTGACTGATACATTGAGGACAGTAGGGAAGGCATAGCTCACTGAATACAACTGCTTCTCCCGTGGTAATGTGCAACAGACCGTTGCAATCATAGAGAGAGCCTCCCTTAGGAGTATTAGGAGTATCATCCTCAGTCCAATGGAAATCCCCATGTATGTAACACCTGGCTATACTTCCGCCATCTCCTTGATCACCTTCTCCAAATTCTTAATATCATGCGCAAACCTCCCCAGGAACAACCCATCCACCCCATCTTTAATCCTCCCAAACGTCCCCGGCCCCGCACTTCCCCCATACACTATCCTCACCAACCCCTTCCTCTGCCCAACCATCTCCCGTATCGCCTTCGTAACATGCACCACATGATCCGGATCCGCCGGCTCTTGCGCTCCAATCGCCCACACAGGCTCATACGCGAAAACAATCTCCTGCTCCTCCGGCACGGCCCTCAGCACCGCCTCGACCTGCACCCGGCACTCCTGTATCGCCTGCCCCACGGCCGCAGACGCAACACTCCCATGCGTCGTCTCCCCCACGCACACGAGCGGCACCATCCCATGCCTACTCACCGCCTTGGCCTTCCGCGCAACCACCTCGTCCGTCTCGCCAAACAGCGCTCTCCGCTCCGCATGCCCGATTTCCACTATCCTGACCCCGACCTCGGCCAGCGCCGCGGGACTCACTTCGCCCGTGTATGCGCCGCGGTCTTCCCAGTGTGTGTCTTGCGCGCCGAGCTTGATGTGTGAGGGGCCGAGGATGGCGGCGCAGGGGTGGAGGGAGAGGAAGTCTGGGATGAGGAAGAGGTCGATGCGGGCGTTGAAGGCGAGGGGGTCGAGCTGGAGGAGGCCCCAGGTGTAGGAGAAGGTTTGCTGGAGGGAGAAGTACATTTTTGTGGAGACGCCGACGAGGCGGCGGGGGGGTTCGGGGGAGGCCATTGTGCAGTTTGGTGAAGGACTTGGGAGGGGAGGAGAAGCTGGGGATTAATGGTAAGTTTGAGGTTGGTTGGGGGTTTGGTGAGGTTTATGGGAGTAGTGACGGAATGTGGTTGGGGTTACTGGATGGGGTATTCCGCATTTACTAGTCGCTGTCAGTATAAGCATGCCTTAATGTTGCGACTAATGGAAAGATAGATCTCATTCCATAGCTAGATTCATGTTCTAGTTGGTCCTATCAGTTTTTAGATGGGAACGATTAGATGAGCTAAAGTTTTATAGATCGTGGACAAAGTAGGTCCCAATTCCTATTACGACCAGTCAAAAGTCACCGAAGCCTGCCACTGAAAGCGTTGCAAGGAATTCTTGGGTCATTCCGTTTCCGGACTTACTGTACTATTATTCCGGCATAACTACACGTACACGTTTCCCTATGAACTTTTGTAACATATATGGGTTCATGAGGGTGAAAGGGATCAAAGTAAGCACTGTAACAGAGAAATCTTTGGCATTCCTTGAGACTCGTAACCAGTTCCAACCCACCAGAGAAGCCAGATATCTTGTCCCACCCCAAAAGCGAATGTCAGAACCTTCTCGTCTACCCGGAGTTTGTATATTGGTGTGCTGGACGGAGTATCCGGGGAGTTTCCCGGATTCCTCATTGGTGAAAAGCGCCGACCGTCGGAGTGCGAGCGGTCAGCGCCCCGCCAAAAGTTTCCAGCACCTTGGCATTCGATGGTTTCGGTCATGAACAACGCAGTGCTACCCATCTTTTCCTCCCCCCTAACAAACACCCTCATTCTTCCGGTCGCACTCACAAGCATCATTTACCTGCCATTGTAGTGGTACATGCAGCGGCATCTCGCGGATCGTTGGGCCCGCGTTCGCTATTTGGGATAGCTAGAGGAGTTTCAGCACAGCGCGGGGTGCGGTGGAGATATACTGAGGGGTGACATCTGGTAATAATAAAAGTAAGCTGCATTTCACTCCGCCCGGGGTGCTTCGGTGCCTGCCGGGGGTATATACTCGAGTCGTTTCCCAGGCACTGATCACGGTTTACAGAAACTCTGGCTACCTACCGTCCTTCACCTCTGTTGTGGACCGTTGAACAGTACTCGCCGCCATGCACATCTCACAGAAGCTCGCCCAGGCGCAGAAGGATGGAAAAACAACCTTCTCTTTCGAGTTCTTTCCGCCCAAGACAGCGCAGGTAGGGCACAATTGGATAGTAACGAGGACTGGGATGGATGCTAAGTCCATAACAGGGCGTCCAGAATCTGTACGATCGCATGGACCGCATGCACGGCTTCGGTCCCCAATTCGTCGACATCACCTGGGGAGCGGGCGGCCGTCTTTCACAGCTAACCTGCGAGATGGTCAAGGTCGCCCAGACTGTGTACGGACTCGAAACATGCATGCACCTGACCTGCACCGACATGGAGAAGTCGAAGCTCGACGACGCGCTGCGCGAGGCATACCAGGCGGGTTGCACCAACATATTGGCACTGAGAGGTGACCCGCCCCGTGAGAAAGAGAAGTGGGAGGCCACGGCTGGAGGGTTCAGATATGCCCGCGACCTGGTAAAATATATCCGCGAGAAATACGGAAACCACTTCGACATTGGCGTGGCGGGATATTCCGAGGGATGCGAGGACAATGACAATGTCGACCAACTCATTGACCACCTCAAGGAGAAAGTCGACGCTGGTGCTACCTTTATTGTGACGCAGATGTTCTACGACACCGACATATTCCTGGATTGGGTGCGTAAGGTCCGAGCGAAGGGGATTACAATCCCAATAATTCCTGGAATCATGCCCATCCATACCTATGCTGCCTTCATGCGCCGCGCCAACTGGACGAAGTGCCATATTCCTCCTAAGTGGCTTGAGGCTCTCGAGCCGATCAAGAACGACGATGTCGAGGTCCGTGAGGTCGGTAAGGTCTTGGTCGCGGATATGTGCCGAAGGCTGATCGCCGGAGGTATCACGCATCTGCACTTGTAGGTACCCGCCTTGATCGGAGAGAGACATGCTGACCTGCATAGCTACACGATGAACTTGGCGCAGGCGACTCGCATGGTGCTGGAAGAACTTGACCTGCTTCCCGACGTTGAAAGTCCGCTCGAGAGACCCCTCCCCTGGAGACCTTCGCTTGGCCTCAACCGCCGCGACGAGAACGTACGGCCTATATTCTGGCGTAACAGGAACCGCTCGTATGTGGCTCGGACCCAAGACTGGGACGAGTTCCCCAACGGCCGTTGGGGTGACTCTCGGTCGCCCGCTTTTGGTGAATTGGATGCGTACGGTATAGGCCTTAAAGGCACTAACGAGCAGAATATCAAGCTTTGGGGTTCACCGACTTCCGTCAAAGACATCTCGGACGTCTTCGTCCGTTATATGAGCGGTAAACTCGAGTCGTTGCCTTGGAGCGAGCAGCCCATTACCAAAGAAGCCGAGAGCATCCAGCAGGATCTCATCGATCTCAACAGGCGTGGTTTCCTCACCATCAACTCCCAACCAGCTGTAAATGGCGCCAAGTCCTCCGATCCGGTCTTTGGCTGGGGTCCGCGGAATGGTTATGTCTACCAGAAGGCATACCTGGAGGTCCTTATCTCCCCGGAACTCATCGCCGAGGTTATAACTAGGATCGAGCGAGATCCGGACCTGACGTACTATGCCGTCAATAAAAACGGAGAGCTGAAGACCAATTCGCCGGCTGGTCCGAACGCTGTCACCTGGGGCGTGTTCCCCGGAAAGGAGATTGTGCAGCCCACTATCGTCGAGACGGTCAGCTTCCTCGCATGGAAGGATGAATTCTTCAGGTTGGGCCAGGACTGGGCGAACTGCCACTCCTCTGTGAGCCCGTCTCGCTATGTCATTGAGGATCTGATGGATACCTGGTACTTGGTGAACATCGGTGAGTACCTGAATCTCAAGCCGGCCCGACCGTGGTGCTAACGGAACAGTCCACAACGATTTCCATGTCACTCATGGCATCTTCCATCTCTTTGACGGCCTTCAAGTTCCCAACATGGACAAACCTCTGCACAGCACCGGCACCGTCAACGGCCAGGCCAATGGCGAATCCAAGGAGGAGGTCAACGGCGCCAACACTGAAGAGAAGTCCAAGACTCAGGCTGCCGCAGAGGCCTTAAAGTCTGCTGCTTCAGCCCTCTCCAACGGCCTCAACGGCGTCACGGTGTCAGCAAACTAATGTTTTTGACGAATTACGATCTTACTGCATTCAACACGGAAGACCGGTCTCATTCACGGCGTTTGGTTTCCTGCTTCGTTTGCTCAGCGCGGGAAAATCCACTTTCAACAGTAATTTTTTTTAACAATATTTCTTCTTACGGATTTACCTTCCCGATCCCACTTTGGGTCGGCGATGTGCATCTGCACAAAAAGATGGATAGCATAGACAAGGCATCGGGGAAGACGTCGTTTTCAACCTGACGACTAATGAGATGACGATGGCCGGAAAAAGTAGAGGATAGCGGATTTTTTGATGTTCGACAGATTCGAAAGATACCCGACTGGCGCCCTCAACGGCCTGGTTACCAAATAATAGTTTCTATCATTTGGCTTTTCTCGTTGGCGATGGGATGTGGTGTTAATACTGCCCCTCATTGATTTCCTCGGTACGGAAATAACCTTCAATCTCCGGATGTGATGATCTCATCTATGTTATATCAAATGGCTTTGAGGAACAGTGCTCCATGAGCATGACTAGTGAACCGTAGCATTGGCGAAGCTTGATGCCCTCTGTAGTTCGGCACTTGAAATCCACGGCCTCGTTCAGGTCGATCCAGTCCCCATCCCGTGTGGTCTGCCTCCACCTGCCTCCACATACCCTCGGTACCCGTGGTCCCACAAACACAGGGAGCAACCACCTCCTTCGAAACCCACAGTTCTCTGCATGTTACCCAAGCAATAGACAAAACCTCTCGAGCCCATATCGACCTTACTCCACGAAACACACCATGACGGACGCCACCACGCACCCATTAAGCGGCCTCTGGAAGCCGACCCAACTCCAAAAGCTGTACTACGGCCCAGACAGCGTCTCCCAACACCTCACCTCGTGCCTGCCGACGCCGCAAAGCAAAGCCTTCATCATCACGGGGACCTCGCTCGCCACCAAGACGCCGCTGGTCGAGCAAGTCGAATCCCTCCTGGCGGACCGGCACGCGGGTACTTTTTCCAAAATCGGCGAGCACGCGCCCGTCGCCCAACTCGATGAAGCCACCAAGATTATAGAAGGGGATAGCAGCGTCGACACGGTGATCAGCATCGGCGGCGGCAGCCCCATCGACAGCGCGAAGGCGATATCGTACCGCCTGCACTCGAAGAGCGGGAAATGGCTGTACCACATTGCGATCCCGACGACGCTGTCGGCGTCCGAGTGCACGATGATGGCCGGATTCACGGAAGCCAACGGCGTCAAGACGGGGATCCGGGCGCCCGAATTGGTGCCCCACGTCGTGCTCTACGACTCCCGGTTCGCAATATACACCCCCGAGAGACTGTGGCTTAGTACGGGAATGCGCGCGCTCGATCACGCCGTCGAGCTGCTGTATCATCCCACGGCGACGGAGATGCCGGCGAAGTGGCTCACGCTGCAGGCGGCGGCGAGTTTGTTTGAGAATCTGCCAAAGTATAAGAGGGAGCCGAGAGATGAGGATGTCGTTACGCGGTTGCAGCTCGCGGCGTTTGCGAGTCTGGGGTTCCTGGGGACGAATATGAGGGGTGGGTTGGGGTTGAGTCATGGGTTGGGGTATGCGTTGGGGAGTCCGTATGGGATTCCTCATGGGATTACTTCTTGTTTGACTCTTGGAAGCGTGGTGAAGCTCAAGGCGGGGGAGAAGGAGGCGGCGGCGGAGATTGCGAGGTTGTTGCCTTTCTTGGGGGAGGCGAGGAGTGGGGATGATGAGAGGGATGCGGGTGTTGTTGGGGAGAGGATTGAACAGCTTGTGAGGGAGTTGGGGTTGGAGTGTGGGTTGGGGGATTATGGGGTCGGGAGGGAGGAGATTGAGGTCATTACGAAGAGGGCGACGGGTGTGGAGGATGGGGAGGTTTTTGAGAGGGTGAGGGGGTTGGTGGAAGGGTTGTTTTGACTGCACTCGTGATTATCATGACAGTGCGAAAGGCAAGGGGAGGCTTTGAAATGTTGAGGTTTGTTTGGTGATTGCGTTGTAGGTCCCGATTTGACGGGTAGCATGGCGGTCGTGAAAACTGGCTAGGATATGATATGTGGGTTGACCGGGTAGATGGGTAGATATATTGACGGAGGGTCTCTGTACTGTAGTATATATGAGATGGTAATCCCAGTCCCTACAATCCGCCTCCCTCCAAGGTAATATTAATCATGGCTCGTGCGCGATGCCCATTCAAATGTTCTTTCCAAACTCCTGCTTCACCACCTCTTCACCTATCTTCTTCCTGTTCCTTACGATGGCCTGTCTTCATATACTCGTGCTGCCCGTGAAGGACAGACTGGCTGAACCGGAGCCGCGGAGGCTTCTTGCGATTCTTCCCAGCTGAGCGCACCAGTCAGGAACCTCAACCGTGGTGAAGCATACATGGTATACACATATGGGTCTCCGGAGTGTCATATGTCATGGCGCGCAGTAGGTGGGATGTCGTCGCTGGCCGTGCCGTGTTCATCACCCAGCGCGAGCTGGTCGGGGCTCAGTCCGATTGAATATGGATCGATATCATCGGTATCGTCGCTAACCCAGTCGGCCTCACTTGTCAAAGTACCTGTCGTCCTCGAGACGGCACCTGAAAGCGTGAATATTCGTCTTATTCACGCTTTGCAAATTGTTGACCCCATCAGCAACAACGAGCGTGGCCGCCGGATCGCCATCACCTATGCATCCATAATTACTACAAACGAATCATCAGCCATTCCTCGAATCCCGCAGCTGCCCATGGAAGACCTACTCATAGAAAGTGCAGTACCACGAATCTTTCCTCTGCAGTACCGAAACAATGTCATGCCCCCCGACCAGAATCGACTGCACGCTTCCATCGATGCTAACCGCGTCAGTCATCAGTCAGCGGGCAAACACACACAAAGCTCGCCTCAATGACGGACGGAAGACGTACAGATTGTTGTCTAGATTCGTGCACGCATCTCGGTACGCGTCGACGGCTACTTCCTGCCAGAAGGCGGGCGCGGCGTACAGGAAGACCTTGATTCGGTCCTCCCGGACGAGATCCTCGGCATCGCCGGGGGCAGCGAGGGCGAGGGTTTGTGTGACGGAGAGCACGAGGGCGGAGATGAGGGCGGAGAAGAACATCATGACGGCATTGCGAGGGGATCAGTGATACGGTCCCCTATGGTGCTAGGATCACGCAAGAGGGGTTGGGAAGAAGCAGGAGAAGGGTGGAGTTGGCATTGTTGATGGGAGCTTTTGACGGGATGACGGTTGGGCTGTTTGTGGGTCTCCTTTTGTGACTGATGATTTGTTGGGTGCCGGGGCACAGCCACTGTGAACGCGCTAGCTGGGCAGGGTACACAGTGATGCTGCATCGCGAACGCCGAAACAAATCTGGAAACAACTCTCAGAATAGAGACCCGGGGTTTCAAGAGGATTTACAGTATGGGAAGCGGTTGGATGCGAGGAGGTTAGTTAAGTTGTTTATATTTGTGGTTTTACATGATAACTAATCGCCTCCTATAGCTCGGTGATGGATGCTTACGAAGCTCCCCTCCGCAAGTCTGCAGCGCTCTGCGTGCTGCATGCCGCTGCTAAATGTTCCCGAGGTCTCTATGAACGGGGCAGACACGGTTACTCAGTGTCTCCACGTCTGGTGCATGCGCCCGTGTAAGCTAGGTCATCACCCTGGGGCAGTTAAGGGGTTCGTTCACCCCTTATCCATGACCCTTCGCGACGAGCACCACAACGGGTACATCATCTGGTTCTCGTGCATACCCCATAAGGCTACTGTGTACTGCATGCTACTGGGCTGTTCCAGTAGCATAGTCTCTCTGACGCCGTTTCCATGGTCTTCTTCTTCGACGAGAAACCAAACCGGGTGCATCATCCAGCTCTTTACGTCGCTGGTGTTGGGAGGGGTGCTCGACGTGCCGGCCTTGTGCGTAGGGATCAGGACTGGTTCTATCGCCCCCTGAACGGTCCCGTTGAGTCGGAGAGGGAATTTTCTAGTCCTGGATTCCTCTGTGTTTCTTCTTCGAGAGGTGGCTGGCATACGATGCCACAATCAACACCACATGTCCGTTGCAGGGCGATGGCGCAAATGGGAGTGCCAATCTTCTGGCTCTTAACTCAAATCTCCCGCACTATTGGCATCATCATCATTGTAGGCCCGCGGAGCCCTTTGGCGGTTCATGGTCAAGCGTTCTTCGTTCCTTTGTAGCGAGAAAGCTTCACCGCGTTTGCCAGTAGACAGCTAAATGCTGGGCCGGTAATGGTTCGGCCGGGCTGACGAGAGGTTCGCGGTTGGATTCCATGTCCGATACTGTCGTACCCGTCACTCCCGTAGTTCCGGTAAGTGTACGCTCGAGGGGCGACACAGGTAACACATAACCGGCATCCAACTCGTGACGGGGTGGCGCGTCTTCGGGAAGTTCGCATAGCACCACCTGCGTAGAAGCTGCCTCAAACACCTTCCTGTCGACGGAGTGCAGTTCCACGGTCCCTTTCTCGAGGTCCGTATCCTTTGGCTTCTTCATCTTCTTCTTCTTCGGCCGCCCGTTGGGATATCTCTGACGATGCTGCTTCAGGAGCAAATGGATAATGATGCAGAAGATGACGAGGAAGACGATGGCGAGGGCGAATCCGAGCATCATCTCCCCCGTCTTCTTGAGCGGTATCGCTTCGGTCGTCCCATTCTGGGTCCCAGAAGGTGAAGGCGTTGGACTCGAGGGCGGCGACGCTGGGCTGTCGTGAATCTTAACGTCCTCTCCACCGCCCATAGCTTGTCACGATAGCGGAGGGGACGTAGTTTAACTCTTGTCAATCGAACTGGCGCACACGCGGGCAAATATCGGAAGCGCTCATGTGGAACGGGATTCGATGCAAGGGCCGCAAACAGAAAATCTGGTGAAAGCCTGGAGGAGGCTGGTGATGGGTAGAGGAACGCAACCCCCGCGAAGAGTGGGAAGCACGAAAGCGCACGACGCCGCTGCTGCTGCTGGACCCCGGATCCCGTCGTCGCAGCTCCATGTCCTTTTGCCAGGATGTATGCAGAGGCTGATATTTATACACAGTACAAGCTGAGGATTCGTTGGATATGGTGTGCGTGCTGTCGGGCCCTAAGCCTCGATTGGCAGGTACCCGTTTCGCGGGTAATCTAATCCTAATCCTTTGGGGTCCGTCTTCTGGCATTCACCCTACCTTTACAGTACTCAGCCAAGGGTCCGGAAGGGCATGATTCCAGATATCTGGGAGACTATTTGACATCTTGACGTCCTTTTCTCTATCTTTGGAGGGCCACCGCTATCCGGGCGAGTTAACCTAGGCCTTTGAAGTGGCAATAATGTAGTGTGTTAACGGAGTTGGTTGTCCCAACAGTTCAGCCGGCCTGGAACATCCTCCCTGCCTGGAACGACACTCCGAAATAACGTGTTCCACCAACCAACGCCCAGCCCCACCCAACGCCCAGTTTCACGAAAACCCCACCAACTTCAAAAAATCCTATCTCCACCACCACACATGATATGGATGCCGCGATTGCAGATTTGGAATCTCTAAAGCTTGGAGAATCTCCTAACTACTCTCATCTTGCTCGAAAACATGGCGTTGATCGAAGTACGTTGTCGCGAAGATGGCGGGGTGTTCAGAAGACCCGACAAGTGGCCAACAATCAACAACAACTACTAAACACTATACAAGAACAAGAGCTTATAAAGTACTTGGATACTCTTTGCG